AACAACACAACACTCAGAGGGCGTCGGAAGTAGGCTCGCGGAGCAAATCTTGGTTCGCAAAACCTTTACATGGGACTTGAGAAATGTACACTGCTGAACAGTCACTCCAAGTTCCCCCTAGGGCATAAAAATATAACCCGCTACACGACACTATGTACGGATTTCATCCCCCTCACCGAAGCACGCTTGTTTTCCTCAATGGTGTTTCCATGAAAAACTTAGGGAGTGACTAGAAGGAAGGAATCATGTACCGATTACGCTATGTTTATTAGGCGAACCTTGGAGCTCGGCACCACAACCGCCGTATAGTGAGAATACATAACATCATTAGCAGCCCCCCTACATCATCTTATCGGCAACAACTACGTTGCATCACATCGATCTGATTACACTCCCGAGAAGAAAACAGTATCAAGCCAACCAGTGTCACATAAGCCCATCGCACAACACCACATCTCTCGTGGTCAGGGTTCGGTCGTTCTTTTTATCTCTTTGACACATTGTTAGTATTTTAGTATATCTAATCCAATGTCATTGGCCGCGTACCAATCACATCGGACTGGGGGGACCTGTTATGACATGGCCCATTTAGCATGCTCTGGACCTCAAGATCTGGAGTGACAGCCTTGTCTGACGACCTCCGGGCGCTCGCCAAACGACTCTTAGAGTCCTGGCCCAGCTGCTTCCTAGTTGGGCCTGAACTGGATGGGCCCAAAGCCTGACCTTATCTCCCTTTGAACTTATTCCAAGAGGAAAAAGACATAACTGCCCTTCTAACCTAATAGTCCCTTATAAATAGAATATGCCCTCCACCTTTTGGAAGGATCTTTTCTCTCCTAAAAGAAACCCTAAGGAACTTCTCCTTTATCTCATAGTATCCATCCAGCCGCCATGGCTAGACACATCACCACAAACACCAAGATGGTTCTCTCTGGCCAGGAAGAACCATCTCTTATCTACCATCCATACTAACTTGATCGTTGAAGCTTGCTCCCGGGGAACAGTACCTAAGACAAGGCTAACGACTTTGTTGTGATGTATGTCAAGTATCCCACTGGAAGCCCACTGACGGCACCACCTCCAGCCCTCCAATCCAAAACTAACACAGAAGACCCGGTGGCCTGACGACATATAACAACAGGTAATAACCCATAATCAAGGGTCCAACGTACTGCCAGACTCCCTTTTCCTAACTTCAAACAATCATAACTTCTTCGTTTCAACTCTGTTTTTGGCGTTCTCTATACGCACATAAAGGTATTAAAGAGCCCCAAAATCCTATCGAATTGCTTTTAACTTAAACCATACCGAACTAAAATCCTTATTCCAAGAAAGAAGTCTGAAACATCACTTTTCCCTTTTTACCTTTTGACTCCAAAACACATACTGAGGTCTTGGATCGCATAACGAATATTATTAACATCCAATAGGGTCTAAACCTTATTTTATTGCAGCCCAAGGCAATGACTTGATCCATTTATTATCTATAAACCCGAAATAAGAACTTCTCGAAATAGGATGTTACAGTATTATCAGATAGGATTTATTAACGATGTTATTTTTTCTCAAATCAATACATGATATTGAGTGAATAAAAGGGTAGATTAGTAATTGAAATTAAAGGAATTATGAGGTGAGGAATTGCCACATGGCATAATGATTCATTTATTAGAATCGGAAGACGAGATACAACAAATGGATTTTATGAAAACCATTTTTCTGAATAGACACCTACTTGAAAATGTCGATATAGTTTAGCCTGGAGGTTTTGTTAATCTAGTATATGATAAAGTGTATAAGCTTTAGAGATCATTTTATGAATATATAAAGCAAACATCTCAAGGTTGGAACCATCATTTTAATTAAGAATGCATAAAGTAAGTTTTTACATGAAAATGAAGATAATATATGTGTTTACTAAGAACTAGCTGTAGCATAATGATTCCTAATCTTGTATGAACAATACATACTTAATCATGAGGAATTACATTATGACTATGTAACGTCAGTTCGCCTTGACTCGGAAAGTATTTTTAAAATGAAAGACTTAGGAATAACCAAATACATTCTTGGAATGTAAAATCAAAGGAGATAGATAAAGATGAATGTTAAAATTATAAATTTTTATGCATATGTTGACAATATCTTAAAATAGATCAAGATGCAATATTCTTTTGGATGACTCTTGAAAATGACACATGGCACCATTTTGAGATTACCTCAAAAGACTTAGCACAAATGTTTGAAATATATACAATGATTTATATTCTATTAGTTTTGACAAATGAGTTCATCATTATGCCATAGTATGTACATGACTACGTAAATGATTATGTTATGAGTATATCATAAGATACCAATAAGATACATGTGAAGGTCATTAGACGATTATAAGGACATTCTAAAAGCATTTAAGAAGAACTAGAGAATGTATGTGAGTAAATCTACTTAGAAGAAGATCTTTATGTAAGAGAGATACATAAGATCCTAACTTCAAAAAAGATAGAAATAATTACGAATTATAATTGCATTGTTACTACATTATGAATGAAGAATGAGTTGTGTTGGAACTAGCTCCAAGCAAAACATAATTTCAATGTCTACTAGAAAATAAGATACACTACTACTTTAGAAACTGCAATCTAATATGATTGGATGAATAATTTCATTGAAAAACTAGGATGAGTCCTTCCATTCAAGGACCACCAAGAAATCTTTTGTGACTTCAGGAATATACTTAATCAAACTAAGGACTCTAAGTTACATCAGAACACCAATTATATTTTCCAAGATATTTAACTATACTTTGAAAAAAAGTTAAATATGGAGACGATTGTATTCACATAGTTTATACAAATTAAATTTAATCATACCCGTTAATAAAGTCTTGCCTTTAAGCTAAGCATGCATGGAATTTGATTTGGATTTAATATTTGGATATTGGAATATTGTGACAACAATTATTATATTGTTTTGATATATTAGGATATGATATTTATATTAATTAGATTGTTTTGCAGATCGTAAACCGGTTCTACTAAAAACCGGATCCAAAACCGGTTTGAAAATTTGCCTCTGAAAAACAAACTCATGAAAAAAAATCTAACCAGTGAAATATAACCAAAAGTGGTTGATTTGAATTTTCTTTATTTTTCTGACCCTCTAAACCCATATAAATAGATGTTAACACATTTATTTATCAAGAAATTCTACCGCTCGAGATTGAAACGATGTTGCAGTAAAAATGTTAAAAATTGAGGTCAAGACATTCTACTGCACGAGATTCAAATGACATTCTGGTAAAAATCATAACCACCATTCAAGAGATGGACGTGTTGGCGCATATTGATTAGTACTAAATTCCCGACTGCAAGAACACATTGCGAACTCATGTAAATAAAACTTATCTTGTTTTAAAAAGTCAAGTGGATCTGAATCAACCAAATTTTGGTCTCAATAGAGCGATCTTAATTTATTTACAAAAACGATGTGATTCGTGAAAGCGTTTTCAAGTTTGTTATTCAAAAGGGATTTTCATTCAACCACTTCGACAACTCACTATTGACACAAATTGTCCGAATGAAAATAGAACCAGAATACCGTCAAGTAAGTTGCATTAATCTTAAAACGTTATGTTATGAAGTATTGGCAAATATGCCTACAAAGATATGCAGTTAGATTTTTAAATTTAAAATGCATTTGTATTTTTTTAATGAGCGATCTTTGGTTCTCCACCAGATCTTGTTTAAAATGCTATCTTGTTGTTACCAAAAATTAGATAGGCCCTTCTACTTGGGTGATGAATAAATAATTTTTTTCTTTTGACCATTTTGTTATCCTCACATCGGGACACATTTATGTATAGTTTCAGTTTCAATTACAGAGTTGTATAATTTAACAACAAACATTTTTCAATATCTTTTGACAATGCAGATAACGATACCATATCATAGCAAATGACTAATTGCAAAATATCAACGTATTACACATGGCTCATTTTTCCATATACGATGTGTTTGTCAAATAAATAATTTAATGGTGCAAGATAGTCTAAAACAAATAAGTCTTAGGATTGAAAAATTCAAAACTTTGTTAACAATAATTTTTGGAAGATAAAATAAAGCTACAATGGAAAAATATAAACTATTTGCTCTTTCCATCAACATTATGTCGTATATATAGTCCGCACTGGGTCGTGGATTGTAGATAGGGTTGACATTCATACAATTTGAAAGTATGGTAAGTCAAAAAACCTATTTGTAATTGTTGTAAGACACGATTTCAAAAGCAATACACCCCTGAAGCAATGAGGATTGATATTTTATGGAAGAGTTTACCTAAATATTATAAATTTTTAAGAAATCGAAAATATGGAGCATTTTAAAAAATAAATGAAATATTTATTTTGGTTATGCAACCAATTAGATATGCCATCATTTTTTATTTGCGTTAACCTTTGCATCAATGTTAAAGGTGTAGAGAGTTTACTTAAAAAACATTCCATCGCATTACTTTGCAAGGGACACTAACTAATCTGCAGCCAAGTTAACTATTTCTATAATACTTTTAGTAGATTCCGTGGTGTAATGTAACCAACAATACTACTAGTGATGTATTGGGCGGTGGACGGGTGGAGTTTGGCCACATAACTACCTTTTTGATGAAAAAAATTGGATCAGATTTAAGGCGGATTAGATTTTTACTTACAACTGATTGTATTCAGATCCATATATCAGATTCATGGATGCTTTAAGTTATATTTGATGAATTAGATGAAAAGCTACCTCATATTTAACAGTTATTTGAAATATAAAAAGTTACTATCTGATAATAAATAATTTTTAATAAGCTAATTTAAATTTTCAAAATGACAGTTTTTTTTATAATTATTAAGTAACTACCTTATAATTTACATTATATAAGCTATGGCGTATGAAAACATTGCCTTAGTATTAAAAGATTTATATTATATTTGAGACTCGCCCAAGAAATTCCATCCGACTGTATTACAATAATAAGATGCATTAATGCATACGTAAACAATCGAAAAAACAAGATATTGATGGTATTATACCTATCAGCCATTATATACATAGCATCAAACTACAACCATCATTGATCAATTAAATGCGCTGCAAACCCTACGAATTTCTCCCTGAGTCCCAGTTTTCACCTCAATATTGCCCATTCTCACCATTGACCTAGCGAACTCAACATTGAATGTCAATCCAACAAGTCCTCTAACTCCAAGAAACCTTTGCGCAAATGTTCGTGTTGTAGGGTTGCCCCATAGCACTTGATCAGATTCAAGTACACCTCGCCCACTCCTCAAGTTTCCAAAGTAGGAAGTGTCAAATCTGTTTTCGCTGCCATTATCAAGAGCCACACGCGTTGAACCATCTCCTCCATTAGGGCACAGGTTTCGGAGTGTGGGAAGGAATGCTGTGTCAATAGACGGGTCTGGTCCATTGGTGTTGTTGAAGTTGTATAGCCTGTAGCTGAATAATGCACAGGCCGCTGTCCCTAGCGTGTGTGCACCTGGAAAGTAATAAAACACAGAAACACATCAGTTTATTTCTTTATGAATAAGCGTACAAGGTTGAACTATGTTTTTGTGGCTTACTTACCTGAAAGGGTAACAAGATCTTGGGTGCTAAGACCTTTGTCAGAAAACTTCCTGATTTGGACATCAACGGGGTCATTGAAAGCTGGAAGATTTGCAGTATCAGCTGCACGTGACACCAATCCATCTCTACGACCTAATGGCACTTGCCAACGCGCAATTCCCCCTGCCTGCATGCATAGCATTCCAAAAATAGAATAAGTGGGAAGGTTTAAGCTAGCTACGTACCATTTCAACTGGCACGTTACAAATCAAAGCTAAAATTCAAATAAAGATAAAGCTAGTATATTTAATTACCAGGAGCACAGAATCACGAGCAGCGATAGCTAGGATATCAGCACAAGAGACCACCCCAGGACAAGCGGTTTCAAGCTGAGTCTTGGCAGCATCGATGATCTCAAAGCCTCTTAATAGGGAATTGGGCGGAGCGGTTCTCTCACTACCAGAACCAGTAATAAGGACAGAGGCATCACAGCCATTAACAAAGCAATCGTGAAAAAACATTCTAACCAAACCGGGTGGGACTCCTGGGTTGGCCCGATTAGCAGCTGCGACAGCAGACTGCACGATGGTTTCAACTCTTGGGCATGAGGTCTGGTAGAAACCTACTCGGGTTTGGCCTAGTGCCAATGTGGTCAATGTTGCTAACATGACAATCAAGAAGAGGGGTGTTTTTTTACGTGAAAAAAACTCCATTACTAGAATGATTTATGTGTTGTTTTAAGATAACTACTTGGATTGGTCTTTGTTGATGCGAGGGAGAAGGCATTTTATAGTGTAAGTGGAGGTGGAGGGTTTAGTGAAATTCAAAATTGCTGGAGGCGATAAAAGTAAACAAAGTCGGCCGTTTCAAAGCAAACAAAGGACAAAGTCAAACTTCCTCATGATAATGGATCCAGTACATAAATATACCTAACCATGCAAATTAGACGTTAAAATGGCAGTTTAAAAGAATATTAAATAATACTCTTATTGGGATATTAATCAACGCCAACATATATTATCCATAGGTTAAATAAAAATAGATAATTATGAATTTGTTTGACTTTGATGGGTGCCTTACGTTTACTGGGATTGTCATTAAAATACTGAAACAAAAAATAATTATATTTTGATTCTATTTAGATTAAGAAAAGTGCCGTCCCTTAGATTTTTGAGGGTCCTGTAAAAATAAAATAAAAATGGGCCCCTAATTATATATATAAATAAATTCGTTAATACTATGATAAGTCGATAAACGTTATAAAAATAATCAAAACAAAATAACGATACAATATATTATCTTACGATAAGTCAATAGATGCTCTTCTACTATTTTTTAAAGCAAAATTGTTCACAAATTTTTATAATTAATACTCTTTTATATATTGTTCTCAATAGTTATCGTTCCCAATCCATTAAGTCTTTTTTGTGACATTGTGGACTGTAAGTATGAATTTAATTAAGACGATGACAACCATATGGAGTATTAAATTGTGACATCTGTAAATTTAGATTAGACTTTTGAACTTTTTAAATATATTATAAGAGTTACTTATATCGAGTATATATATAAGAATTTAATTAATATTTAAAAAGCATGTGTTATATTTAAATATATGGGTGTTGAATGTCATATGGAAAAAAAATAAAATTGTGAATGAAATTAATTAACATGATACAAATGTGTATTTTTAGACTCGAGGGGTGAGTTTGTGTAAATTTAGGAAACTATAATGGAAAATAAAATATGAAACGGGATGTTGTAGGAAAATGAGCAACTACTAGAGACCAATAGTGTAACTTCACTAGCAAATCTTATAAATGATTAATTTGAGAAAAAAAAATTGTAAAATAGCCGTAGGAAAGCTCGAACACGGATCAGCTAGAAGTTAAAGAATTCAAGGCGCGCGTCTTAACCATCTAAGCTAGCAAATAATTATGTTATTTTTTCAGAAAAAATGATATTATATATTATATATTCTAGATAATTTAAATAAAAATTAGGGCCCTATTTTTTTTGGGGCCCTGTGCGGTTGCACCTTTTGCCCCTCCCCAAGGCCGGCCATGGTGCCTTTCGCTTAAGTAAATTGTCAAATCAAAGGGAAACTAAATTCACAAAATAATTTGGAGTTACGAATAGAATTTACCCATCAAATATCATCCCATCATCTAATTTAGTGGGTTTACGTACTTTAGGCTTCGCCTTGTGTCTTATCTCCATTTCACATATGATGTCTTCGTTCATTGCTAGTTGGAAAATGACAAAAACGGTGCATCATTTGAGTACTTCGATTATATCGGTTAGCTTCTGGTCTAATAAATAAATCTTTGAATTTCTTTTCCCTTTTTTTTTTGGAGTTGGGATAAAATTTATTAGTGTCCAACAAATGATGTCCATTCTCGGATGTAAAGCCTCCAGTTTTCGTTATGTATATTGGGCTTCGCCTAGGTTCTTGTCTCTCATCTCCACTTCACTACTTCACATAGATTTTGGTTCATTGCTTGATTGAAAATGACAAAATTAAATATCGTTTGAGTTATTAGATGATTTCCAGAAATACATGCAAGATAAGTTGGTACCACCAGCATCGACTGTGATGAGTTTTGCTCAATACGAAGAAAAAAAAACGCCAATAATGCGTCGACAAAAATCAATAGCGGCGACAAAAATCGCCGCTAAAACATTCAAATATCGCCAGTAAAGTCAATAGCGGCTATAAATCGTTATTAATATGTCGCCGATATTGCCAAAAGAACGTCGATAATGCGATATGTCGACAGTAATATGATACTCTTTATTAAACCAACCATTTTCAGATGCGGAAAAACCAATACTAAATAGCAAAAACAAGAACCATTGATTGCAAAAAAAAAAAAAAAAAAAAAAAAAAAAAAAAAAAAGATGATGACATGTCAAATTAAGTACCAAAAGTCTTATAAAGATCCAATACATGCTAAAGTACCAACGTGGAATTCAATTAATTTCGGAGCTGACTATGGGTACCATAATCAACTTCTTGACATGTACATATGATCAGTTCACATTGATTTTTATATGAACGAATTGGAAAGATCTATCATAGAGTTGCATGACATGTTGAGTGCTTTTAGGTCTTATATGGACAAGTATAGAAACTCTATCTTCACTGCTCCAATATTTCCTATCAGAAAAGGAAATGTCATGAAGATGAAAGCCAATTAACCGAGGGCTAAGGGTGGTTGTTGATACATAAAAGTGACCATCAGCAGCTATGAAGTGTATCTGGAAGCGAAGAGTTCAAGAAGACAAATGATAGCGATGAATTGATTGTCTAAGACTTGACTGATGACTTGAATACCGAAGATAAGGAGATGCAAAGAGTTAAATCTTTTTGTCTATTGTGGATAGCATAGTGTCAGTAAAGTAATGATCACATTTTCTGACATTGTGTGTTAAGTTGGATTTGCCAGTCCCAAGCATGGGAAGCATGGCCATCTAGATTAGGAATGCTTTTGTAATATCTTATTTAAAGACTTGTACTATTTCTTCCTATAAATACACAGTCTTGTAATCGTTTAAACGTGTATCTAATATCCATCTTTCTTGTAATCATATCAAGTGAAATACAAATCTCCTTATCAATCATATCTTCTTGTTCATACTTAGTTGTTCATAACTTAATAACTTATGTTTAGCTGCAAACCATGTTATGATTCAATAAGTATCCATTTAACTTGTTTATATTTAATATTGTATTTTGTTGTTATGTTTCCTAATTCCACTATCTTTTATTATTGAGATTTAAAAAGATCCACGAGATTAACTTAAATTATGCACCATAATCTATTTGCCAGTTAAGTTCTTCTCTCAACAACTGGTATCAAAGCCACAGTGGTTGCTTTTCAATTTTCTTTAAAAAATCCATAATATTTTCTAAAGAAAAACTCTGATTTAAAAGGCCTTCTATACCACTTAGTTCATATATTTCAAAACAAGGAAAATGGAACAACTTTACTCATTAAATGTATCAAACAGTGTTGGAGGTTCTAATCGAGCACCAATACTTGTTTTAAGTGAATATCATCACTGGTTTCAACGTATGGAAAGATATTTAAGAAGACTTGATAAGGATGTTTGGAGATCTGTAGAGAAAGGACCACATATACTTGTCCTTACTCCCATTGTCACTGATGGAACTCGAACTAGACTTAGAGGCGGTCAAGTTACCATGACCAGACCTACTAACGATGACATAAAAACTGAGAAAGACGAAATTGCTTTCTATGAAATCTCTTGTGGAATTCCTCCTGACCATTTTGATCTCATTATTAACTATAAATCTGCAAAAGAAACCTAGGATATTCTTAAGAATCTATATGAAGGAACTGAACAAGCTCAAGACAAGAAGCTAACCACAACCTTGAAGGATTTCAATAGCTTCAAAGCTCTCCCTGGAGAAAGTCTTGATGATTCTTCCAAAAGATTCAACCTCATTGTTATCAAACTCTCAAATGCAGGAATCACTCAAAGTTATCATGAAATAATCTACAGCTCCTGAATGGCTTTTGAATGCAATGGACCGTGGAAAAGATTATAGTACAAGGTGACAACAAAACCAAAACTCTATCACTGTACAAACTCAACTGTGAACTTCAAGCTCAAGAGTCTACGGTAATGAAAGACTTCATGGATCTTGGCGGACCACTCGGCTTAGTCGCTCACTCAACACAGTTTACCAACATACCACCTCAATATCCTCATACCAGAGAGTCCTCAGACAAAACATCATATGACGACACATTGTAGTCATTTGAACCGGAGATGCAACCTGATGACGAAGAAGCATTTCAAAATGCTTTAGCCCTGGTTACTCAACAATTCAATTAGCTTCCACCACCAAACTACCATAAAAATCAGCAATTCATTAGCCCTCCTTTTAACCGTAGCTACAATACTCAGAACAACACTCCACACCTCTCTCCTCAACCCTCCAGATACCCTAGAAACCCACAATATCAACCACAGTCTCAGAGCACTCCTTTGATGCTTACTAACACGACTGAAGCACCAAATGAATACAAACTTTCTCATACCGTAGATGTGACAACCGTCGATTTTCAGTCTAGTCAAGGTCAAATAAAGTCAATAAGTCAAATCGGTCAACTCATCTAACCCATGTATATTAGGGTTTCCGTTATGTTTCCTATTGTACAACTCGCGATCTTAATACAAAGTATCACTTAGATTTTTCACGTGTTCGTAAATTCTAAAACCTAATCAGGGTAAGTGATGAAACTACTCGACAAAATATTATTCCATACCCCTCGAGGGCGTATAACATTCATAACGAGGCTTAACGGGATTTACAAACCTTGCGTGGCGAAGCTAAACATCCAAAAAGGTCACAAACTAAGTCTCTCTCAAACCTCTCTTGCTCTATCTCTCTCTATCTCAAATCTCTCCAAAATCTCTCCAAGTATGTGAAATCTCTCCCAAATCTCTCTAAGTATGAGAAATCTCTCCAAGTATGTGAAATCTCTCCCAAATCTCTCCAAGTATGTGAAATCTCTCCCAAATCTCTCCAAGTATGTGAAATCTCTCCCAAATCTCTCTCATAACCTCCCTCAACTTTTTAAAATCATTTGGGGCATCCCGACCCTTAACTTAGTCAGAAACCGCGCAAAACGGGAAGTTTATTTGAAAAACAGCCATTTAGGGCCGAACCCTCTTAGAGCCGAACCTCTTAGAGGCGAAACCCTAAGAAACGAAACCCTAAGAAGCCTCCTGGACCGAACAGCCTTAAGAACCGAAC